GAGGGTAGCTATCAACGGGGGGGGGGGGAGCCTGTGCCTATATTATTTCAACAGATGATAGCTATCATGTACTTTCTGCAGGTGGAATCCAATTTGATGAATGCAAGTGGAAAATATTATAAATGAGGAAAATGGTCATTCTCTCTACTTCTCATTTCTGTTGCAGAAATGAAACTAACCTCTGAGATCAGGTCTCTTTCAAAGAGCATGTCCCCTAATTGTGTTGATGCTGAGAGAAGTGATTCTTTATTCTGTCAGGTATTCTTATCCTTAGTGACAAAGAGGATTATGCAAAGGACTCACCACATTAACACATACACAATATGTGCAATCTGGACCACAATTACTATTATAGTTTCATAGGCATTATTAGAATAAAGAGACAATGCAAAAAAAAAATTAAATTTAAGCATCCTTGTTGCAAGGTATAGGTCTTCATCACATTTACCTTTGCTCTCTGTTTGACACAAAGTTCATTGCTTGATGTTCATACATGTATAATTTTTGCAAATTTGAATGCAAGAGATCTACGACAGAAAATTAAGTTCTAAATAGGACATATATTCCGGAACTTGGTTAATACTGTATACTGTTTCATTAGATCCTAATAGAAGCATAGTTTGTATTTAACGTTAAGCATGTAAGCTACATACTGTGATATCACGCAAGTGAAAGACTCTTGAATAAAATTAAAAACATACATTCAACCTTTGCATCTGCTTCAGTCAGATCTATGCTTCTTTCATGTTAGCATGTCTAACGTGTTTGTGGAAACACGATTTCTCAAGTCACATGCATAAATATTTACAGAAATTGGCATTTAGCACACAGAAATATTTGTGCTGGAAATAGAAAAGGAGAGGAGGTTGTTTTACAGACAGTTCCAGATTAAATTGATATTTAATGTCCCCTGTCACAGATACTTCTGTGAAAAACTGAAAAGTTGCCATGAAAAGAGACACCACACCATAGGAAATACTGATTGGCTGGCATGGTGCTACCATGCCAAGAAGTATTAGAAAGCCAAAAAAATGTTATGAATATCAATGTAAAATATCTATATGCAATTAATAACGTATGTCTTTATTACCTTCATCTTAATTTTTAACCTACAGAATTGCATAAATATGCAGATTTGTGTAAGCAACTGAAATTTGCATGCATATATGTGTGTGTGTGTGTGTGTGTGTGTGTATTTATAACTGTAAGACTACTTCCTCAAAGCAAATGTACAATGTGTACAAAGCAGGTTATGGATGCACAAGTTTGAGAAAGCAATTCAAAGTCAGTTGAAAAGTTGGGATAGGATTTTCAAAAGTGACTGATAATTAAATCTGTTTATTCTCTCTTTCATCTGACCACCTATTATAATTAGCAGAATTAAAATTTAAGTCACCTGTGGAATCCCTAAAGTTTGTGTGTAATCCACATACATGATATATCTATACAGAGGAGTTACTTTATGCTCTGTACAACAAACTTCAAGATTGAAGTTCAAGAGGCAAGCTGCTATGAATAAAAGAGGAAATCGATGGTTATGTAATGAATGACCTTGAAACTGTGCAGGAATATGAGTAGCTTGTAAAGAAGAAAGAGAAATTGCTATGTATATTAAATCAAGTATACGTCATTCTCTTAAATGGTATTGGAATTTCCAGAGCAAAGGAGGACATTTAGATTTTAAATCAACAAACCGCATAATCATATGCTTAATCTAAACAGGCGTAAATTTAAGCACGAGTGTAAGTAATCTGCTGAATAAGGACTGGATTTCTCATGTTTGAGCTCAGTCATAGATTTAAGTGCTTTGCTGAACTGGAGAGGTATTGTACTCTGAGCAATTTATTATATAAAATCTAAAATTCATGGTGCATGCAAGTACATTGTATATTTTGATTCTTATCAGAAGCTTCTAGTTTTGTGTGATTTGGTGATTTGGGTTTTATCTATTTAGACAATAAATTAAATATGACATATGAAATCTGAATGCCATATGAAATATGACGATAAATGAAATATGACATATGAAATCTGACCATTTTTTACCTGGATATTTACAGCATGGACTTCTGCAGAACTACACTTCTGAAGAGTAAGTGCAGTGGAGCAGAATATGGTGAATTCTGGTGAACCAGTTGTCTCGTATTTATCCCCAGTAATTTATCCTTATTCATCCAATTGTAAATTCAAGGTTCTCTTTTTCAAAGTGTGCAGCAAATTTATATAATTTGTAAACTTTGGTAATTTTTCTTGCAAATTGTGGTGCATTGGTTTTTACATCTGGTGCAGTTCTAAATTTTACTTCCCTTTTCGCATATATTTTACTATGAATTTATGTCACATGTACATCTTGGAAATTACTGCAATCCACATTCAGTAAATATTTATTCATTTTCTTAATAAAAAGGGTCCACAAACATCCTTTCCACAGACATTCAAGCTATCAAGATTTTTTTAATTATTTTTATTTATTATTTAATTATTGCAAAATTTGGGATTTGAACATTTCCATTCAGAAATATGTGTGGAATTCAGGTTTTAAACTGGCACACAGTGGAAATGTGTGCCAGCAACTCTAACTCACTTATTCTTTCAAGGAATAGGAACAATATCATGTGATTTTGGTTCACCAGTTACAGCTTAAACATCAAGCATGTACCATTTGTGGAATTAAGTTTAGGCCAGATTTTTAAATTGCCCCTGACAACTCCCCTTTGACACTTACTGCCAGATTTCCAAAACAGCTTAGGGCTATACCTGATCAGGAAAAAAAGAAAAAAACAATTCTTGAAAACCCAAAGTTTTTGCAGAAATATTTCATTTTCAGTGAGCTTTCACTGCAATACAGGTAGCAATCAAGGCTGCTTGATTTCACACAGCAGGTTACTCAGGTCATCTGGACTTGCAGGCTCCTCACCCTGAGTCTGCTATGCCATGGACCCTTCCTCATGACACCATGAATCCTGGTTCTCAGAAGTTCTCATGTCCCCCCCTTCACATTAGGGGACTTCCTAGGCTTTTCCTAGCTTCCCCAGGAGCAGTCTAAACACTCAGCCAAGGGATCCCTGGAAATCTGGACTTCCACTTTTGGTTTAAAGCAAAGCAAGTTGCTTTTCCCAAAACAAAAAAGTCTGATTTTTCTCCAGGAAGCTTTGAAACCCCTAGTTTTCTTCCTGAACCTGAATGAGATTTTTTTTTTGGAAAAGTTAGTTTTTCCAACAGAGCAGAAATTTCAGCAATCGTTGACACCCAGCCCGCAGAACCCCTGGAAAACCAGCCGTTCATTTGTTGTCAGACTGGGAGCTGAGCTTCCCAGGTTTGAAAATCTGGCTTCTTCTAGTGTGCTAATCAACTTATTTTCCCCCTCCATCATAATGAAATAATAACTTACCTGACATATACTAAAAGCATTCTTCATCTATTTATACATCTATCTATATAAAAGTTTATATCCCCATTTGGGTAGTGATTTAACCTAATTGTACTGAATTACCAATAAGCCAGGTTTCATTCAAAATCTTTTTCATCTCAGCTGTCTTTTCTGCAGGCAGCTTACTGATAATTTTATGCTATTGCAGTCACATGAGGCAGATTCTAATATTGATCTGAATTTTTCCCCTGAATATGATTTGCATTCGTAGCCTGATCTGACTTTTTCTTCCCATAGAACATGATTTACATTCTTCATTTTAAAGCCATCCTGAAAAAGTCTCTTTCTAATCATCCTTCTAAATTCATGAGGGAATAATTCTTTCTACCATTGCTTAAGAAAAGGACGTCCTTAAATGAACTAGCACTATTCCTGCAGATTAAAATGATTAGAGGGACCCTCATTTGTTGATGGAATATAGAAATGTTTTTTTCTTGTGGCCTACTTATA